CTTGACCTTAGGTGATTCGCCCGCCTCGGCCTCCCAAAGTGCTGGGATAACAGGCGTGAGCCACCGCTCCTGGCCAATAGTCTGATTTAGAAAATTTCCTTTTTCTTTTTCTTTTTTTTTTTGAGACAGAGTCTCACTGTGTCGCCCAGGCTGGAGTGCAGTGATGCGATCTCGGCTCACTGCAAGCTCCACGCCTCCCAGATTCACATCATTCTCCTGGCTCAGCCTCTCCTTACAGGCGCCCACCACCACGCCCGGCTAATTTTTTGCATTTTTAGTAGAGACGGGGTTTCATCATGGTCTCCTGACCTTGTGATCCGCCCGCCTCTGCCTCCCAAAGTGCTGGGATTACGAGCGTGAGCCCCCGCGCCCGGCCAGAAATTTTCTTTAATGTGGCCTGAAGCACCTGGTTTGTAAAGCGCCATTATTTGCTTTTCTCTCTTTTGAGAAATTGTCTGAGTGACACTACGTATCACAGATTTCCCAGTTAACTCTCTCTAGGCACTATTGTCAAAGCTGATGCCTAACTTGACATGCGTACAGTTCACTCAAGGTTTTTTTTTGGAGACTGAGTCTTGCTCTGTTGCCCAGGCTGGAGTGCAGTAGCATGATCTGGGCTCACTGCAACCTCCACCTCCTGAGTTCAAGCAATTCTCCTGCCTCAGCCTCCCTAGTAGCTGGGATTACAAGCATGTGCCCCTACGCCCGGCTAATTTTTGCATTTTTAGTACAGATGAGGTTTCACCATGTTGATCGGGCTGGTCTCGAACTCGTGATCTCAAGTGATCTGCCTGCCTCAGCCTCCCAAAGTGCTGGGATTACAGGCATGAGCCACTGCACCCAGCCTTCACTCAATCTTTTGTTTGTTTCTGAAACATTCTTAAGGAACATAGCTGGAAAATTAACAGCTATATTATATCATAAAAGGAGTTTTTAAAACTACCAAATACTTTATACTTCCTTTTAATATCATTACTGAGAGGTGAAGCCAGCTGGACTTCCTGAGTGGAGTAGGGACTTGGAGAACTTTTCTGTCTTACAAGGGGATTGTAAAATGCACCAGTCAGCACTCTGTGGCTAGCTAGAGGTTTATGAAATGCACCAACAGTGCTCTGCAAAAACGCACCAATCAGTACTCTGTAGCCAGCTAGAGGTTTGTAAAATGCACCAATCAGTGCTCTGCAAAAACGCACCAATGAGTACTCTGTAGCCAGCTAGAGGTTTGTAAAATGCACCAATCAGTGCTCTGTAAAAATGCACTGATCAGCACTCTGTAGCTACCTAGAGGTTTGTAAAATGGACCAATCAGTGGTCTGTAAAACAGACCAATCAGCACTCTGTAAAATGGACCAATCAGCAGGACATGGGCAGGGACAAATGAGGGAATAAAAGCTGGCCATTCTAGCTGGCGGTGGCAACCTGCTCGGGTTTTGCTCTTCACAGTAGATCTTGCTGCTGCTCACCCTTTGGGTCTGTGCCACTTTTAAGAGCTGTACCACGGCCGGGTGTGGTGGCTCACGCCTTTAATCCAGCACTTTGGGAGGCTGAGGCAGGCGGATCACGAGGTCAGGAGATCGAGACCACAGTGAAACCCCATCTCTACCTGGCTAACATGGTGAAAACCCCATCTCTACTAAATATACAAAAAAATTAGCCTGGCATGGTGGTGGGCACCTATAATTGCAGCTGCTTGTGAAGCTGAAGGCGTGAACCTGGGAGGCGGAGCTTGCAGTGAGCTGAGATCGTGCCACTGCACTCCAGCCTGGGCGACAGAGCGAGACTCCAGTTCAAAAAAAAAAAAAAACAAAAAAAAAACTGAAGAGCAAGTGGTCAATCTCTTCCAGGGTCCAGGAGCAAACCAGGAACTCCTTTCAAATGGTATATAGCTTTGTGCTTCTAGATGGCATGGCCTTGCTCCAGAACCCTAAGTGTCTGTACCACCACACCCGGCTAATTTTGTATTTTTGGTAGAGATGGGTTTTCTACATGTTGGTCAGGCTGGTCTCGAACTCCTGACCTCAGGTGATCCACCCACCTCGGCCTCCCAAAGTGCTGGGATTACAGGCGTGAGCCACCACGCCCGGCCACTTTTTCATTTTTATTTTTAACACAACAACCAACCAAGTAGGGTTTATTCTAGAGACACAAGGCTGATTTGGTACTTGAAAATCAAGGTAGGCCGAGTACAGTGGCTCACGCCTGTAATCCCAGCACTTTGGGAGGCTGAGGCAGGTGGATCACTTGAGGTCAGGGGTTCAAGACTGCCTGACTAATATGGTGAAACCCCATCTCTACTAAACATACAAAAAATTAGCTGGGCGTCGTGGTGCACACCTGCAATCCCAGCTACTAAGGAGGCTGAGGAAGGAGAATCGCTTGAACCCAGGAGGCAGAGGTTGCAGTGAGCCGAGATCACGCCACTGCACTCCAGCCTGGGCCACAGAGCAAAACTCTGTCTCAAACAAATAAACAGAAAAATCAGCGTAATCCATCACATTGATAGTCTTAAGAATAAAAGAAGATCATAGCAATTGGTGCAAAAAATTTGATAAAATTCAATATGATGAACACTTTCAGCAAACTCAGAAGGCAACTTCCTTCACCCAATAAAGGGCATCTATAAAAATATGTTAATCTCACTTAATGGTGAAAGACTGAAATGGTTTTCCCCAAAGAACTCCACCCTCACCACTTCTACTTAACATCATATTGGAAATCCTACCAGCAAGGCAAGAAAAAGAAACAAAAGGCACACATGTTGGAAAGAAAGAAATACAGCTGTTGCTATTTGCATACAACATGAGAAAGTATACAGGGCTGGCCAGAGGTGGCAGGCAGGGAGGCTGGTACCCGTCCTTGCCGTCTCACAAGCTTTGTTGTTGGGGAAAACCAGGCCTGCCTGGTGGATGCTTTGGCTGCTCTGGGGCCTCATACATCTTGCAGGGTTTTAAGGAGGCAGAAGATAAACATGGTTTGGATGGGCCGGCTGACCAACTCCTAGAGCCTCTAAGATACACAGAATATGCTGGAATGGGTTAATAGGCTTCTGGAAGGAAGTCATGTTGCCCACATCAGTTGAGTAGCCTGTGGTGGGTGTGCTGTTTACATGGATGGTGTCTTGGCTTATCTCCAGGACCAGCTTGGTGCCCAGCAGGTGGCTGGAGCTGGCGACAACTACACACTGGTGGCATCAGGAGAGCTGCGTCTTGTAGACTTTGGTGATGCTTTACTTCTTGAGGTTGACATAGGCATACATAGGCCGTCCCTGCAGGGAGCCTTAATGGAAGACCTCAGTGGCACTGTTAAGAGTCTGACCAGGGTCCCTTACAGGCGGGGTCTACGTCCTGGAGGTGACCCGGGAGGCAGGGATGTAAAGGTCACACCTTCCCATGGAGCGACGGGCCCTCCTAGGGTTTGGTTCTTTGGTGCCTGGAGGAGCTGGTATCCATGCTCCAGGACTAGGCCTGGGAGACTGTCCTGTTTTTTTATTATGCACATGTTTTCAACCAAAGGCAGACCAGAGAGCCATACTAATGCAGCGGTGAAACACACACTTTTTATCCAAGCTCTGGTTACTTCCAACCGTGACCACTCTCACGCTTCCTAGCTCCCTTTTCCCATTCCTCTTCACAAAGGCTGTGCCCTGGCAATGATGCTATTCTGCCCTGCAAATCTTTACATGAGCTTCTCTAATTCTTTTGATTAAGTTCAACCTTTTCACTCTCACAACTCCCTTATTTTTCATCATTCGCACATTTCCTTTCATTTCTCCTACAACTTTTTCAACGTCTCTAGTCCAAGAGTTAACTTGCTACATTTCTACTCGCCTTGGCTCACCGCCAGCACGATGCCTTTGTTCTGTCTTGAATCGCCGCCTGCCAATCACCAGGAGACGCAGACCTCTCAGAGCGAGGGAACTTGGACAGAAAGGCACTTGGCAAGGCGCACACGACTCAGCGTAAACAAGTGACCTCTTGTTCTCCAAAACTCTTGAGACACAAAAGGGAAAAATAACAAGCTTTTCTAGTATCTGTATCCTATCATACCTACAATACTCTCTTGTTCCACATGCAAGCACTTTGCATTATAGTACACCACAAGGAGCAAAAGGTAAGACAGGATTCTTACACAGGTCGTAAAATAAGGCCCCCGCCGCTATGAGAAAGACGACTTTCTTCCAATAGCATAGAGCAGGACTCCGCCTCCGCCTTCGTTTTCTTTAGTCTTTTGCCCTTCCATCCTCCTTCCCAAGACTAGCGTTATCCAATAGAAATATAATGTAGATCACATACTACATAATTTTACATTTCCAAGTAGCCACATTAAAAAAAATTAAAAGAAGCAGGTGAAATTGGTTTTAGTAATGTTTTATTCAACGCAGTGGACCCTAAATATTATGATTTCAATCACCCATGCAGTAATTAGAACTATGTTTTCTTTTCTTTTTTGAGACGGAGTCTCACTTGTCGCCCAGGCTGGAGTGCAGTGGCGCTATCTCGGCTCACTGCAACCTCCGCCTCCCGGGTTCAAGCGATTCTTCTGCCTCGGCTCCCGAGTAGCTGGGATTACAGGCGCCTGCCACCAAGCCCGGCTACTTTTTGTATTTTTAAGTAGAGACGAGGTTTCACCATGTTGGTCAGGCTGGTCTCGATCTCCTGACCTCGTGACCCGCCGCCTCGGCCTCCCAAAGTGCTGGGATTACAGGCGTGAGCCACAGCGCCTGGCACCCCCCGCCTTTTTTTTTTTTTTTTTTTGAGACGGAGTCTCGCTGTTGCCCATGCTGGAGTGCAGTCGTGTGATCTCGGCTCAATGCAACCTCCACCTCCCAGGTTCAAACAATTCTCCTGTCTCAGCCTCCCGAGTAGCTGGGACCACAGGCGCACGCCACCATGCCCGGCTAAGTTTTGTATTTTTAGTAGAAACGGGGGTTTCACCATATTGGTCAGGCTGGTCTCGAACTCCTGACCTCTGGTGACCCACCCACCTCGGCCTCCCAAAGTACTGGGGTTACAGGCCTGAGCCACCGCGCCCGGCCTAAATATTTTACTTTCTTTTTGTCTTTGGTAGCTGGAGTGCATTTTACACTTAGAGAACATCAAACTCGGAAAAGTTGCATTTCAAGTGCCTCATAGGCACCGCACTGGACTGTGAGGCCCTAGAATGCCACACCCCCTAGTCCTTGCAGCCAGAAATGAAGATGGCAGGGGCGGTAACACTGTTAGTTTGGGACTAAGAAAGGCAACCTCGGGAGGAGGCGAGCCTTGCGATGATGAAACTTCTAGGACAGTCTCCCCTCGCCCCCCACCCTGTGCAGGGCCTAGCATAGCACGGCCAGAGCCACGGGAAAGGGCGGGGCAGGGAAGTCTGGAGATGGGGGCGTGGAGAGGCTCGGCCGGGACCCCTACGCATGCGCACCGCGACAATTCACGATGCCCGCCTACTGGCGCCCTAGCAACCGGGTTGCGAACCACCGTTTATCCCGACTAAGTGGCTATCCTGGGAGTTCTAGTGCCACTAGCTGGCTTCGGCTCTTCCCTGTCCGAGGTTCTTGTAATTTCCGCTTATTTCCTCCACGGGTGCCGATTTCATGTGTGTGTCCCCGAGTGCCTAAGCCGGCTCCTGAAATGAGTACTCGTGGTTTCCGCGTGGGAACCAACCTCGAGCGCCAGTGGCCCTCCCTCTACGGGCTGAGGTGGCTGCTGGGGCTGGGGCTGCTCCTGAGGCTTCAGGGCCGCCCGCTGCACGGCTTTCTACCTCCCCAGGCTAATCGCGGTCAATCTGCCAGGCGGAGCAAGAAATCGCATTTTGTCAGGTGAGGATTGGAGGAAGGGAGTGAGATGTGAGGGGAAGGCTTCGGGTAGAGGTATGGGGCCGATCGGGGACGACCAGGGTCGAGAGCTCATCGACTTGGACCCGGAATGCCATTGCCCTCCCTGTGGGTGTGTCTCAGGGTCTCTCAATCTCGGAGCCTCCCACTTCGCGGATCTTTCCCGCCCTCTCAGTATCTCCTTCTTCCTCACAGTTCCTCCCCTTCCTCTTCTTTCTCTGCTTCCTCCCTTCCCTCTCATCTCGTCTTCTTCCTTCTCCCTCACAGCTCCAACGCCCACTGTTTCGGCCCCACCTTCTTATCTTGGCCCCTCCCCTTCCCCCCCTTATCGGCTCCTTACCCCGTCCCTTTTTGTTCTGCCAGTGCCCTCTCGGCTCCTCCCCCTCCCCCTTTCTCCAGGATGCTATGCCCTCTCGGCTCCTCTCCCTACCTCTCCCTCTCTTCTTCTTTACCTTCCTCCTCTCTGCTGCTTTTTCTAGTCTCTTCGCCTCTGCTCTTCTGTTTTCCTTTCTGGGACTCCTCCTCCTTCCTCTAAGCCCCTCCCACTTCCCTCCCTATTGGCTGCTCCTCCATCTCCCTCTTGGCTTCTCTCCCCCCTCAACTAACTCCTCCCCTCCTCCTCAACGCCTTCCTTTCCCTCTCAGCATCTGTAACCCTCCCCTTTCCTCCACCCTCTCCCTCGTGTTCTTACACAATCTTCCATTCTGGACACATACACTCATTGTGGTCTTTCTTAAATACATCCCCACCATATTGTGTTACCCCTCACTCATGTAGTCTCACACACTTACCCCCCTAATTCATGTTAATCCACTTTGGTCTCCTGGGTCCTCTCTCTGCAAACATAGTGTTATTTACTTCTAGAGATTTGTGAGAATACAATGAGACAGTACATGAAAAGCACTTACGACGGCACCTTGCACATGGTAAGCTTTCAATAAATGGTAACTGTCATCATTATTACTTTTCTTTAGCGGGGGATTCCTGGGACAATTCCTCTTCCGTGTGTCCCACAACCACCAGTAATTTCTTGACTCCCTTCCTTAGTAGCCTCGTTGTTTTCATTGTAAGCTGACTTAAAAGGAGTTTTTTTTTTTTTTTTTGCAAGTAATCAATTCAAAAACTATTAATAAATAAGACTTATGTTCTGATCTCTAGTTGCCTAATCTATGGTGTAGGGGGGTATTCTGGTAGAAGGCATCACAAATGCACACAAAGTTGAGAATGGTGCTGACTATAGACTTAGCCAACTTGAAGGTTCTAGGAGTTTTTAAAGGCTAGCTCTAGGTGCAGCATATTTATTTTTCAAACCTGGAGCTTGCCTTTCGCTGTGAGAAATATTGATAGCAGTGTTTTGAGCCAACCTCTTGCCAAACACATGTAAGAAATAGCATCCTTTTTATATTTTTTATTTGCCTTTTCTCTGACTGTTGATATCTAGTCCTTGCTCTTTTTTCTTTATTTCAGCAGGCTCCCTAGCAAAGAAACATGATTAATAACATCTGGAACCTCTTTTCTTCTCTTCTCTCCTTCCTTCGTTCCTTCGTTCCTTCGTTCCTTCGTTCCTTCCTTCCTTCCTTCCTTCCTTCCTTCCTTCCTTCCTTCCTTCCTTCTTTTTCCCTCCCTCCCTCCCTTCCTTCCTTCCTTCCTTTTTTCTTTTTTTTGAGATGGAGTCTCGCTCTGTCTCCCAGGCTGGAGTGCAGTGGCATGATTTCGGCTCACTGCAACCTCTGCCTCCTGGGTTCAAGTGATTCTCCTGCCTCAGGCTCCTGAGCAGCTGGGATTACAGGCGCCCGTCACCACACCTGGCTAATTTTTTTTTTTTTTTTGTATTTTTAGTAGAGATGGGGTTTCACCATGCTGGCCAGGCTGGTCGAACTCCTGACCTCAGGTAATCCACTCGCCTTGGCCTCCCAAAGTACTAGGATTACAGGCGTGAGCCACTGCACCTGGCAGCATAAACTTTCTATATTGAGTGAGACCTGTCTCCGGTATTTGGGGTTCACACATTTAAGTCTGTGATACATTTTGGGTTTTTATTTGTTGTTGTTGTAAGATGTGAAAGTTAGGTTGAGATTAATTTTTTTGCCTATAGATATCTAATTTCTTTAGCATGGTTTCTTGAAAAGACTATCCTTCCTCCGTGAAATTGCTTTTGCACCTTTTCAAATTTTTTTTGGCAAATCTTGCTTTGTCCTCCAGGCTGGAGTGTGGTGGCACCATCCTGGCTCACTGCAACCTCCACCTCCTGAGCTCAAGTGATTCTTCTGCCTCAGCCTTCTTCTTCTTCTTCTTCTTCTTTTTTTTTTTTTTTTTGAGATGAAGTCTTGCGCTGTTGCCCATGCTGGAGTGCAGTAGTGCGATCTTGAGTTCTACAATTCTTCCTCAGTCTCCCAGGTAGCTGGGATTACAGGCACCTGCCACCATGCCCGGCTAATTTTTTTTGTATTTTTAGTAGAGATGGGATTTCACCATGTTGGCCAGGCTGGCTTTGAACGCCTGACCTCATGTGATCCACCCACCTTGGCCTCCCAAAATGCTAGGATTACAGGCGTGAGCACCTCACCTGGCCCTGCCTCAGTCTTCTGAGTAGCTGGGACCATGCCCAGCTAATTTTTGTAGTTTTAGTAGAGACGGGGCCAGTCTGGTCTCGAATTCCTGACCTGAAGTAATCCACCCACCTCGGCCTCCCAAAGTGCTGGGATTACAGGTGTGAGTCACCATGCCCAGCCACTTTTTCACCTTTGTAAAAAAATCACTTGGGCACAGTTATATGGCTGTATTTCTGAGTTTTCTGTTGTACTGTTACATTGGTTTGTGTGTCAGGCATTAGCCTTTTGATGATTAAATTTGCATGCAATGCCTTTGTGGAGTGCCACAGGACTCCAAAGGAAAGTGTACCTTATCAAGAAATGCTGTCCCTTGGACTGAAGAAACTTGGCAGTGTAGTACAACTCTGCTGCCAATAAGATTCTTTTTTGGTTCATATTTGTATTATTTCAGGACAGTAGGTGCTAAAATATGACTCTGTTTTTCATTGTTTACTCATGCTCATTATTTCCTGATTCATAACATTGGCACATTTCATCTGAAGGCTCTGGAAGAAAAAAAATAAATAAATAATAACACTGGGCCGGGCGCAGTGGCTCATGCCCATAATCCCAGCATTTTGGGAGGCCAAGGCAGGCGGATCACCTGAGGCCGGGAGTTCGAGACCAGCTTGACCAACATGGAGAAACCCTGTCTCTGCTAAAAATACAAAATTAGCCGGGCGTGGTGGTGCATGCCTGTAATCCCAGCTACTCGGGAGGCTGATGCAGGAGAATCGCTTGAACCTGGGAGGCGGTGGTTGTGGTGAGCCGAGATGGTGCCATTGCACTCCAGTCTGAGCAACGAGAGTGAAACTCCGTCTCAAAAACAAAAAATAAATTAAAAAAAAAACCACTGGCACTTTACCTTGATAATCCTCCATAGCTAGACCTTGTAAATAAGAAATTTTGTATTAAAAGTGTCAAATATTTTATTATCACGTTCTTTTGGTAACAGTGTTTTTCAGAGATAAATCACGTACCATATAATTCACCCACTTAAAGTGTCTAATTTAGTGGTTTTTAGTGTATTCACAGAGTTGTACAGCCACCACTACCATCAATTTTATTGTCACTTTTAAGTGAAGGATTGTATATCAGGGTAGTTTTTAGGAAGCTAGGGTGGATTTCATATCCCACCTTGTATGTTATTGAAGAAGACAAATTCTTCTCTTCAGTGATGACAGCATTGTGTGTGTGTCTAGTTGTAATCATTTCAGTTACGAATGAAAACTTAGAAGAGAGTGTAGAGAATGATGGCATACTGAAGTCTTTGAAGAAGTTTTACCTGTAAGATAAATTGCTTATTTCATGACATTTGAATTATAAACTTTAGCCAAATCTCTTAATATTTTCAATTTTTTCTTAACAGTTTTCTTTTAACAAAACAGAAATGTGTAAAAGTTTGTGTAAAATCTTACGATCAAGACCAAATGGACAAGCTGGCTTTTTTGAAGAAAGGAATACGACTGAATTACCAGCATCACTGGTAGGTTTGGCATCGGAAATACCATGACTTGACTGGGTGAGGTGGCTCACACCTGTAATCTCAGCACTTTGGGAGGCCAAGGTGGCAGATTGCTTGAGCTCAGGAGTTTGAGACCAGCCTGGCCAGCATGGCGAAAACCCATCTCTACTAAAAATACAAAAATTAACCGAGCACGATGGCAGGCACCTGTAATCCCAGCTACTTGGGAAGCTGAGGTGCACGAGAATTGCTTGAACCTGGGAGGCAGAGGTTGCATTGAGCCGAGATTGCGCCCCTGCACTCCAGCCCGGGTGAAAGAGCGAGACGCTGTCTCAGAAAGAAAAAAAAAAAAAAATTAACATGACTTAATTAATTTTTCAATTCCTTTCAGAAGTTTTTTGTTTGTTTGTTTGTTTGTTTTGAGACAGGGTATTGCTCTGTCGCCCAGGCTGGAACAAAGTGATGTCATCATAGCTCACTGCATCCTCAAACTCCTGGGCTCAATTGATCCTCTTTACTTAGCCTCCTGAGTAGCTAGGACTACAGGCATGTGCCACCGTGCCTGATTAAGTTTCGATTTTCTTTTTTTGTCTTTTTTTTTTTTGAGGTAGAGTCTAGCTCTGTCACGCAAGCTGGAGTGCAGTGGCATGATCTCAGCACACTTGAAATCTCCACCTCCCA